TTTCGCCTCGGCAAAAGACTTGTGCTGCGTTTAAATAACTCTTATGAGTAAACAAAGCTTCACAACAGTGGCTCAAGAACGCCTGGAAAAGCGCAAATTTCGCAGATGACGTCATCATCACAAAAGGATCGATCAAGAGATTAGAAGGGAACTTTCCCAACAGCGCGGTAGAATTAACAAGGTTACATCCATGAAATTTTCTCAAATTTAAGCGTACTGCTATTGAGATCGCTAATGTCAACGACGCAATCCCACCACCATCTAAAAGCTGTAACAGCCACAGTAACATTCTTAGGCCACAGATGGAGGACTACAACATATTTTATTGACTGTAAGTACAAGACAAGTACCTTCTGTGACCCATTGGTTGAAATGGTTTACGAAGAAAGGAATCGAACACTTTTGAAGCATAGTGAAGTAAACAAAACTCTAATACGGGTCATGAACACATCGATGATTGGTAAGACGGAAACTTTTTGCGCGACGGTCAGCGAATCCTTCCTGAAGTCGCCGCATAAAATGGACATTATATTCGGTCTCAGTCGATATGTGTATGTAAAGAGCAACTCTATCGGCACCAGGTAGCGTATTATGCGCGATGACTTCAATATACCAGTAATAAACGGAAATGAAGGGACCCAGTCGCCGCCATCATGGAAAACACTTGTTTTGGACTTTACAACTTTGCCGCCAAATTTTGGACACATTAGCTGTGCGTCCAAGAAGTTGCCGCCACCAATGAAAGTATAACGATTTAGCAGCTGGTGTACAAAGGCCAAACTGGAAAACGAAACCCTCATCGAAATGATAGTGTTTGTTCACATCTCGACAACTCTTTAAGTCTCCACGTCTGCGGTAAGTTGAGATTTTACTACCTTTGTGACATTTTCTCATAATCATAAGGTCTTTCAATTTCACGAAGAGCAGGAAGAGATAGCAGGCACGTGCCTTTGATCTCTCTAAGTTCTTCCAATTTCTCGGCGGGCTCTCGCGCAGCGCGTAGTGATTTCGGCAACTTCGCGGTTTAGAACCTTGTTTCAGGATGAGTGTCATATTCATTTCTTCTTCCATTTGAAACTTTCACCACATTTTTACTAGCTTTGTTTGTTGCTTTGGATATATAGCGTTTACCACATAGGCCATATTCCAGTATTCTCCATGATTTGTAGTATGTTGCAGGGAATGCAGAATTTATATTTTAATACTAATCAGAGTTTTATGGCATTTTTTTCTCTGGTTAGTTTGAATTTTTAATTCTTAAAGGAAGCACAAGTACTTCTTTTGCCTATCACGTCTTCATGTAAGATTTTCTTTTTGAATTCTTCATCATTCTATACTCAACAAGGATGTTGCCTCTGCTTTCATGCTCCTTCATCTGTATCTGATCTCGTCGACGCTCACGGATTCTTTCATGTCCTCAAGCTCTAGCTTTACATCCAAAACAGCTCAACCAAGTAACGTAGTACAGCTAAAGCGTTGTTGAATTCTACAACAAACAAAAATCTAAACAACAAAATCATATATACAGTGCATCTACTCAGTGCCACATAACAGGAAGAAGATAGAGTGAAAGGTCTTGAAAGCATTTATCAATCTTTTCCTTTTACGATTTCCATTTACCTTCACTGTTTTACACTACTCCCACTTTGAGGATTTTCACGCCACTCAAACTGAGAGGAAATGAAAAAACAAAAACAAAAACAAAAACAAAGAACAAAAACAAAAATCGGGCGCACGAGCCATACCAACCTCAAACAAAATCCATATTCATCATGGACCACCAGGCCACGAGGTTCAAACTGTCCGGCAAGCATGAATGAAGAACTAGCCTATCACCCCACGGCCGAACGCTAAACAAAATCTATGGGTCCACATTGTCTGATCTAATGAGCCAACTGAGGGAAGAAAGGGACAAATACTATAGATTATAATGACGAAATACTGATTCACACTGTGAAGGAATCCATAGGGGCCGGATTGATTTTAATGAAACATCAATCTGCGGAATTTCATGAAATTTTTTTGCAATTGTTTTGCAGAAAACTTTACTTTGAAATGCTGCCAGAAGATGAGGTATGTACTTGGAGGCATCGGTAATTTCAATTATAACAATGGGTTATAATTTAAAATAAAGAAAGAAAATGTACCAAACATCAGTTTCAAAAAAAGGGTAATAACGCGAAACTCAGCCGGTTACATGCATTAGTGCTTCTATTTATCGATATCCTTTCTCCATTATGTTTCCTGAACCATGCGTATTTTCTGATGATCAAACTATTTTAGCCAATCAGTTTACTGGTCAGAAACTGGTCATTTAATTGCAAATGAATTAAGAATATTGCACCGTAAACTTTTTCTAACTGTCTATGGACTGTGACTTATTATTAAGTTTAATGCACTGTAAACTATTTATAACTGTCTATGGGTTGTGACTCGTTAAGTTTCTCTCACTTCCTTTCATTTGTTCTATAGGAAAACCGACAGACAGAACAAGGAAACCCTTTTAGATATTGCTCGCAAGGAGAATCCGATCGAAGATTGGTTGTATTGTAAGTCTGGTTTGAAAAAACTCTATCCTCTATCACTAACAGTCTACCAGCTAAACGAAAGCAAGTACAGATGAGTTCTACTCTTTGTCTGTAACCAGATTTCTTGAATTAACCCTTTACAACCTATAGGATCAGCATGCATAACCTCCACAACGTTCATGATATATTTCCCAAGGTGCTGATAGGGAGAATGTGTTTAACAATCAAAAGTTTTTTTTTCTCCATCGGTGATCATTTCAAATGTTCCTTTTTTTTAAATTCTGACTGTCTCATTTTCTCCTCCCTAATCCCACCCCCTGCACCCATGCCAAAAGATCCGTTTGCATAGTGGGATTATGTGATCTCTGATAGAATTAAAGCAACAACATTGACAACAACAACAACATTGACTTAATTTTTTTTTTTAAATTAAAGAAATAAAGGCTTTTGTAGCCCGCAGTTAGCAAAGCTATTCTAGGCGGGCTACCTAAACAGACAATGTATAGGCTCTCACACATACACGCACACACACACACGCAACGATGAAATAAATAAATAAATGAGCAAATAAAAATAAATAATAAATAATAGTAGTGATAATCATGTTAAAGGTTTTAACTGGGCCAGTCACACAAGGGAGTTTTTAACAGGTCAAAGAGAAAGCTAATCAGTTGAAATACAAATATAAGCTAGAAAGGTGAAGGAAGCGCAAGTCAACATTCATCTCCTCAATTTCAAGAATTTTCAAAAGCAAGTGAGTTAGCTCACGTTTAAAAGGTGCTTTCCTTAGCTTACGAATTTCAGGGGGGATGCCATTCCATATTTTCGCACCAACTCTAGAAAAGGAAAACAACTGATGATTTGTTCTCGCCTGTTTCATATAAAAGCTTCCAGCTACTGAGAATCGAGTAGAGTAGGAATGAACCTGTTCAGAGTGAGTAAAAAGTTCAGAAATATTGGGAGGAGCACAGCGATTTTTGATGCCATGTAACAAAGAGGCAACCAATTTGAAATAAAGCATTTTTATCGGTAGAATTCCCGAACTACTAAAAGGAGGAGCACTGTGAGATGTATAATCGGAAAAGTACATTAGACGAAGAACCCGCTTTTGTAAACTGACGATTTTCTTTAGATGAGTATTCGCGGCTTGGCCCCAACCAACGAGACCATAGGAAATATACGGTTCAATGAACGAGCGGTAAATGTCAATTGGCAATGTTTTAGCTCGCTCTTCAAAACACAATTACTAGCTACCCTTTAGTTTGTGGCGGGACTATGGCCTCAGTATCATCCTAAAAAACAAAATCTCAATTTTGCTTCCAGTGGAAACAGAAGTTGGTACGAAACATCAAGAAGTGATATTTTGGCACCTGAAGGCCAACAGGTGAGTACAACCCTTAGAAAAAGGTCTTGATGAAGTGATGGCAGAGATTTATCGGACGATCGCGTTAATTATTTAAGGTTTCCGCATATTTCACCGACAGCTAAAATCAAACATCTAGCTGTAGTGTCCATAGCCTAGTTGTCACGAGGAAAGCATAGTAATATTTCCCCCTTCGAAATTTTTATTCCTAAATTGGGAAAATGATATGGATTTTACTATTTAGTTTAGTTGTGGTTTTATAAATGATAATAGGGACCTTAAGCAAGGTCGACGAAAAGGACGACAAAGACGAATACGGCAAAGTCTGGGTCGAGACCGTTGTTCACTGGTTAAAGAAGGGCGGGAAAAAGCGAACTTAAGCTGCTCTCGACGTGAACGTGAACGTAAACAAATAAAAAAAATTGTTTCAAAGCTCCAGTTTTACCATTACGGTTTCTTTTCACGAACTTTAGGAGCTTTTCTCCTTAGCCACTTCCATGGATAATTAAATGATGAAGAACTGTTGCTTTTATACGAAGAATACTGTCCAAAAAATCCAGATTTTCCTTACGAGAATTGTGGCAGGTTTTCACTCGAAGACATAACCGATTCAGAGTGTGTGGCAGAATTTAGATTCAGAAAACGTGACCTTCCACTACTCATAGAGGTCCTCCAAATTCCAGATAGCTTTACGTGCTACCAAAGATCCGGTAATAATCCGGTGATAAACAAATCGATTACAACTCTTGAAACCTACGTGGTTCACTTAAAGAAGTGCCTACAAAAAGAAACAAAAATAAAGTGATTTACAAAACGTTACGGCCAAAACTATGATCAAAAAAATATTTCTAACTCATTTAGATGGCATATTCCTAAATGATTTCGGTATTCTGGGGATAAAAACTTTCAAACGGACAAAAATAGCCCTATGAATACTCACGTTCACTAGTCGACGTAAAAATGCACGATTTCACGTTGTGGACTTCCAGTGGACAACGAGCGGTGGACGGCGGAGTAGCATCGTGACATGCGCACTACCCTTTGATAATGGAAAATTACTTCCGGTTCGTCGTCGTCGTCCTCTTCGTCGACCTTGCTTAAGGTCCCTAATGACTTGTCAATGACAACCAGTTTTCCGTTAAATTTTGAAGACGCTCAAATGGTGAAAAACTAACCGTCAGTAGATTCTTCAATGAAAAATAATTAATTTCTTTGACATATGTGCTAGAATATCACGGGTTTAATTTCATACGAGCATTTCCAGTAAGGAGCGAAAAAAACAGACTTTTTTAAAATTTTTCTTAACGTTTTTTTTGTTTTTTTAGCCTGTAGAAAACAGTAACCAAGAGTTCCTCATGGCCTTTCTGGCATTATTGATCCTTTTGGCCTCCCTGGTGTTGTTGATCCTCTTGGCCTTTCTGGCCTTGTTGATCCTCTTGGACTTTCTAGTACTGTGGATCCTCTTGGCCTTTCTGGCCTTGTTGATCCTCACGGCCTTTCTGGCACTGTTGATCCTCTTGGTTGTGCTTGTTTGGCTATTTTGTTTGTAACTCGTATTTTCGATTGGTTACAATAAGATTTGCCTTTCAAGGGAACTCCAGGAACAGTTTAATCATGTATTAATTGGGTATCAACTAGGTAATATTTGTCGAAGTAGTGAGCCATTCACCAGAAACATAATTTAAGTAATATTGCCAACAAACGAAGTTTATTATTAAAGCATTTATGTCATGTTATCAAGTCTCTCTTTAAGAATCTCGAAAATCATGTTGCTCTATTCTGGTAGACCAGATAGCTTGATTGAAAATTTTCCAAATATCTCTTACAATAACTGTAGTTATCATATAAGGGGCAAAATTACTGAATTGTGATTGGTCAAGACAGAGGGCATTTTTTCTTAATTTTTGTAATTGCCCCGGGCAAAATTACTTGAAAATGATTGGCTGAAAATCGCTTAGCAACGGCTGCCAAGGTAAAGAAATTTCTGTTTGTTTTGTAACAATGGCGTCCCGTTTTGCGCGAGATCAGTAAGAAAACATTTTGCCCCTTATATTATAAACAAGTAATCACATGGTTCCTCGTAAAATTAAGGATTAATATCACTTGTGTTTTCGGAAGTTGCAGAAATTGCCCTCGTCGCTGCGCGACTCGGGAAATTTCAGCAACTTCCGAAAACACAAGTGATATTAATCTTTAACTTTACTCGGCCCTATACGACTCCCTATACCTACTGAAGAGGACTCACGATCCTCTTCAACTTTATCATATAAGGGGCAAAATTACTGAATTGTGATTGGTCAAGACAGAGGGCATTTTTTCTTAATTTTTGTAATTGCCCCGGGCAAAATTACTTGAAAATGATTGGCTGAAAATCGCTTAGCAACGGCTGCCAAGGTAAAGAAATTTCTGTTTGTTTTGTAACAATGGCGTCCCGTTTTGCGCGAGATCAGTAAGAAAACATTTTGCCCCTTATATTATAAACAAGTAATCACATGGTTCCTCGTAAAATTAAGGATTAATATCACTTGTGTTTTCGGAAGTTGCAGAAATTGCCCTCGTCGCTGCGCGACTCGGGCAATTTCAGCAACTTCCGAAAACACGCGTGATAGTAATCCTTAATTTTACTCGGCCCCATGCGATTACCTATACAAACATAAAACTACTTATTGATATTTTGACTCAGCAAAACTTCATATGCGAGACAATTATTCGTATTAGTAACTTAACAATGTTGTACAGAAAATTAAATTCATCGAAGAAATTCAAAGACGTAGTTGATGATAACCTAGGTGTTTTGCTTGTCATTTTTCCACTCTGTCGGTATGAAAAAGGAAAACTTTCGGTTAAGTTTATGGTTCCCTTCCTGTTAGACATGATTTGGCTGTTGGCAACTAGTGTCTGTCAGATCAGTTGTCAGCTAAGTAAGGTTCTAAGTCATTTTGCCTCGTGGAGTGACTTTGAGCAAGACTTTGATTATGGAATGACAAGTGATCCCATAAAAAAAGGGCGAAGGTGATTCCCACAAGGTGCCAGAATTTGTGCGTGGCCAACATTCATTATCCCCCCTTCATTTGTAGGAAGTCCCATTATGAAACAAAAACAATTCTGTGAAGAAAAGAGTAAAAACCATCTTCTTTACTTTCCCAGATCTGTATTTCGGTATCTATTACCTAGGCGTGCTGGAGTACAAACAGACCGAAGATTACAATCGAGGATTGCTAGACCTCCCACACGTTCATCTCACTCTCAAAATGAAATTAAGCCTTACGCTTAAATGCGTCTACTTTCATAACAATGAGGTGATTATATTCGGTACTAAGACTTTTCACACGCCTCGATTTAGAACAGAACCTTAGACTCTATCAGCAGAGATCAATTAGGTATACAAAGCCTCGACCTCACTTTCGTGACGGTATGAAAGGGACACCAGTGTTCTTCCATGACTGTCACGTACCTCTCTCTTCTCCGTTTGGCACCCAGTCGCCGCCATCATGGAAAACACTTGTTTTGGACTTTACAACTTTGCCGCCAAATTTTGGACACATTAGCTGTGCGTCCAAGAAGTTGCCGCCACCAATGAAAGTATAACGATTTAGCAGCTGGTGTACAAAGGCCAAACTGGAAAACGAAACCCTCATCGAAATGATAGTGTTTGTTCACATCTCGACAACTCTTTAAGTCTCCACGTCTGCGGTAAGTTGAGATTTTACTACCTTTGTGACATTTTCTTCATAATCATAAGGTCTTTCTTCAATTTCACGAAGAGCAGGAAGAGATAGTATACACGTGCCTTTGTCGTAATTAAGAACGACTAAAAAACCGTTTCAGCCATACTAGCATGTTAGCACGGCTTTCTGAGTAAAACCTGGGTAAACGCTAGGACCTGATTTGTTTCAAAACTGTGAACACAAAATTGAAAAAAAGTACGGATGTTTTCTTAATGCAAGACATCCAAATGAAGGATCTCATGTGGTCTTAGAGGTTATTCGCGCACGAGTTGTACAATGTATTAGCAAACTATACTATGTCTCCTATTGGTAACTCTAGTGGTTCTGTTATTAAAATTTTTTACTTCTACGTTTCACCACCACCTAATGCCTCATGAATGTTCTTTTATCTTTTAACCCTTTCCGTTAGGAAAATCAGGACTCAAACCTCACCGAATAAATAGCTGCGTGTAAGTACGCACCATTTATATTTTAATCCTAACGCTAATCAATGGCACTTTTTCTCTGGTTAGTTTCGATTTTTAATTGTTAAAGGAAAGGCAAGCGCTTCTCTTGCCTATCACGTCTTCATGTAAGATTTTGTTTTTGAATTCTTCACCATCCTGCCTCCACGCTCCTTCATCTGTATCTGATCTCGTCGACGCTCACGGATTCATTCATGTCCTCAAGCTCTAGTCTTACATCCAAAACAGCTCAACCAAGTAACGTGGTACAGCTAAACGTTGTTGAATTCTATAACAAACAAAAATCATCTGAAAAACAAAATCATGTATACAGTGCACCTACTCAGTGTCACATAACACAGGAAGAATATAGAGAGAAAGGTGTTGAACGCATTTATCAATCCCTTTTCCTTTTACGATTTCCATTCACCTTTACTATTTTGCAATACTCCCACTTGGACGATTTTCTCCCCACTCAAACTGAGAGGAAATAAAAAAACACATAACACACAGAACACGAGCCACCCCAACCTCAAACAAAATTCATATTCATCTTGGACCACTATGCCACGATGTTCAAACCGTCTGGCAAGCACGAGTGAAGAACTAGCCTATAACCGAACGCTAAACAAAATCTATGGGTCCACATTGTCTGATCTCATGAGCCAACTGAGGGAAGAATGGAACTAATACTACAGATTATAACGATGAAGTACTGATTCACACACCATTTTGTATTCGATGTAGAATCAAGAAAGATGGCAGCCCAGCAAGTGCAAATGGTCTATGGATTCCTCTTTCCGCAAGGTGGAATCATAACTGAATTAGGCTCAGAGAGAAAGGTGAATTCTGGTCTCCCTAAAAAACGAATAAAATACAATAAGTGTTGAAGTACGGAAGAGCTATCTCTTCGGCCATCAACCGTTAAGTTCAGGCTTTGTCAGGTCAAAGTTTAAGTAAAATTACATTGTAGTTGACCAAAGCGGGAAAATGAGGGTTTCAATGTCAAATTCATTTTAAAAATACGGCAAGCTAGTTAGAAGAAAGTGAATTAGAAGCCTGCTACTTCTCGGCGAAAATACCATGGGCGCCACTATCTCCCTTTTTCCTCCAAAAACTTTCGTCATTTTTTTAACTTCATTAGGGCTTTCTAGAGATGTCGTTGTCTGAGCGAGGAAAAGTAGTTACCCATTTTTCACAGCCGAACAACTTTCGTACTTGTACCACGTAAGTAACAATCCAGAATGATTTTACTTTAAACCATACATATAACCCATCATGAACGAAGTCAAAGGACTAAACGAAGTAACTTGCACTGTTTCCGGTGTTTTACAATGTTAGACCAGACGGAGCTGTAACTCACTGAGTGGTTATGTAGCTCTCAAAAGTTATCACCACATTCAAACTTGTTTTGAACAAGAAATAAATTTTTTTTTTCCCAGAAACTGCAGGTCTACATTGCGACCACGTGTGAATCGTATACTAGCTGCTGATCTTATAGCGCAGCACCCATACCCCCCTGGTATAAGGATAGTTTGTTTTCCTGTTTGTTTCTTTATCATCTTACCGTGTACATTCGTTAAAGAGGCTACATTCAAAGAACCAACAAACATTACGCAAAACTTTCAACTCTCTATAGTAAGGGTTATTTACCAATGTACTTAAGTACTTATTTAGTAACTTTTCACGTTTTCTTTACTGTAGGAAACTGTAAACATTGGTGTGCAAACATCAAGTAATACCCATACGGGTATTACTCTTGGTTTGTATTACTCATCCTCTTGTCTGGCGACATTCACCCGCAACCTGGGCCCTCCATACGAGGAAAAGCAGGCAGCAATGAAACTACAAACCAAGGCAACAAATCGACCAGAAATCAAGCAACGAAGAATCGAAAACATCTCATGTCCGTCGCCCATCTTAATGTACGCTCTGTGGCGTCTCGCGAAAATTTTCACCTTCTTAAAGACATGATTATCAATAACAAGTATGACCTTTTTACTATTTCTGAGTCGTGGTTGGACTCTACAATACATGACGCGGATATTCTTATTCCAGGATATACGACGTTCAGGCAAGATCGAGGGCTACGCACGAGAGGTGGCGGATTACTTGTTTACATTAAAAATATTTATAAGGCCTCGGTGATTGAAAAATGGTCCTCAACGTCTGAATCGAATTTTCAACAGCTTTGGATGAATGTACAGTATAAGAAATTTAAATCTTTTCTTCTCTGCACAGTTTACAGACCACCGGATGCCTCAATAGATTTCTTAGAAGACTTAAGTAAGACTTTTGTTGACTCTTT